CGGCGGCGGTCGCTGTTTCTCCTTCACCCGCATCACCAATGTCTCCGTCTTCCTCTCTGACACCGTCAGCCCGAACTCCCGGAACACCTCCACGATAATGGTCTGGCTGTACAGCAGTACAATGTATTCCTGCTGAATATTTGTGTGACGTAGACTGGTGAGTCAACCGTGTAACGAACGGCACAGGCTCGCGCCCGACATAAATGCGACGAAAACACACACACCACACATGAACATACCTGTTGGCAGCATTAATGGGGTGTACAGCACATATTCCGGAGTATACATTCAAAAACCAACCGTTACCCCTCTTTGATCAAGATGAATATCTAAAAAAGACATCGGCCTGCTGCTGTGCTGCACCATCCGACCTTCACTGCTGTGTACTGACCTGCAACACCGCCTCGTTCTCACAGCAACCTCCCTTGCGGAGGTCGAAGAGTAGCATGAGGGCCATCCTTGACTGCAACTGGGTCCAGACCTCGCCCTTCTTCGACTTCACGTCGTGCACAGATGTGTCCATGTAGTCCAGCCCCTTGAGCAACCTTCTCCGCCGAGGCAGCAGCTGCTGCTTGGACGCGCTCAGCCTCCTGCTGCTCACGCTTTTCCCGCTGTGCAGCGGCGCGCGCCAATTCTTGCTCCTTCTTGGCGAACGCAACCTCCTTCGCTCTGAGCGCTTGCTCCCTCTGCGCCATCTCTGCTCTGTCCGCCGCGAGCACTGCACGTTGCTGCTCGAGCTCAGCTTGGAGTCTCTCCTGGGCCAACGCACCTCTCGCTGCTGCTTTCTTGGCTCTCTTGTCCGACTTGGACGGGCGTCCAACTGCACCACCAGTTGGCTGTCTCCTGCCCTTCGGCTTCGCCATCGGCCGATAGCTGAGAGGCCCCTCTTTGAGCGTGCAGTACTCGACAACGGCTGCGTTGTGTCCGCCGCTGGTCTGATGTGCGCATGCGCGAAATCATAGGGTTTCCAAAAAGTTCTTGTCTACATGCATGGCTAATTCGCATCCACTCTGTTTTTTTTTTCAGGCCTACACAAAAAAGCAGTGAAAAAGTACCCTATATTCGCTGGCAGCTGCTGTTTCTTAGAGTTCTTATGGTTGTCTGATGAGAGCAAGACCCGGCTCATTTGAAAGGTGTGGTTTCCGTCTTTCATTTGATGTGTGG